TGAAAAGCTCATCAGCAGGCAGCACTTAACCTTTCCTGTGGCTGTTGGCGGCTAGTGGCCAGGGCGGGCTGCCTGCCGGCTGCGACTGTCTGCGAGCCAAGAGCACCTGGGGTCTGCTGGCCGCGGTTGGGAAGCCGGATGCTGCTGGGCCAGCTGGGCACCTCTGAGCACATGCAGAGGATCATGGGCCAGGCAGTGGCAAAGGGAAGGGGCTGCTCCTCTGACTGAAGCCTCTGACCCGGGGGGCGGGATTGTGGCCCGGCGGAAGGAGGGAGGGCAGTCAGGGGGGCAGGTCCGGCAGGCTGTGGTCGGCACTAGCAGGAGGTGGTGGTGATCTTCATGAAGATCGGATGCTGCTGGGCCAGCTGGGCACCTCTGAGCACATGCAGAGGATCATGGGCCAGGCAGTGGCGAAGGGAAGGGGCTGCTCCTCTGACTGGAGCCTCTGACCCGGGGGGCGGGATTGCGGCCCAGCGAAAAGAGGGAGGGCAGTCAGGGGGGCAGATCCGGCAGGCTGCGGGCAGCACTGGCAGGAGGTGGTGGTGATCTGGATGAAGACGGCCGGGGGAGAGAAAGAGGCGGCGACGGTGGCTGGGATCAGGGTGACGCAGGTCTTTGGCGGGGCGGGGCGGTTTATTGCCCTTATGATCAACCCGCCATAGGTGAAAGTTTAGTTCGCCTAGTGGGTGGGCCGGCCCTGCCCGTTTAGAAATGCTGGCTGCATACAAGAAAGTGAACAACGTACCTGAATGTTCCTCTCTCAACATCCTGTCCGCTCAGTCGAATGTGGATTCCCTCTTTAAGGAGAGAGCCAAATGACATGTACTCAGCAAGGGCCCAGTCTACTGTCCGATTAGTAACCATCTCTCCCCGAGTTTTCAGGATCCGGCTCAAACCTGCAGAGACAAACACAGCATCACACTCGAACTCATGACCCTAGAGGTCTTTAAAAAACTGGCACTCCAGAGAACACATGGGATGGTGAGGAGGAAGGATACGACTGAGCTCAAGGTACTAAAAGGTGAAACGGTCATGAAAGCAGAGCAAAACTGAAGAACTCAGAGATTCCTTTACACCTTAATTTAAAGAACCCAACAACATGGCCTGGGATCTATTCTTTGTGGAATCTCTACGTGTTTAAGAAAGCTTAGAGATAGAGGGAATAGCTGATCAGCTCAAACAGCTGTAAAACCTGAATCAAGAAGGAGCTTCAACAAACTGAACAAAGGATATTGTGGACTTTGGGGATCTCAGAAATTAATCTTGCAGCCTAAACATTCTCAATTCCTCCTAGATTCTGTGGTCCCAAAGCTTATTACTCCAACAAGTCTGCTGTTGCTTTTTCTCACGCAACCCCACTTCCGTATTAAAAATGAACCCACAAAAGGACAGAACCCAACTCCTGAGATAGAAAATCATACCGCCATGAATGGTGAAGTTCTCGACAGGTACTGAGCTCGCCACCTTTCCTATATGGACCAAATCTTCTTCATTCACACCAGTGGAAGGGCAGGTCATGCTCCTGGGCTGGCCATCCAGAGTGAAGAAACCTGGGGGAACAAAGGAGAGCACATTAACGGAGTTGGTCATTTACAGGACCACTGATGTTAGCTTTAGCGAATGGAATAAGTAGTAACGCAAACCCATCACCATCTCTGATGCAAGCAGAAAACCTGGCAGAGAAACAACCCTATACAAAGCTACTGAAAACAACATGCTCTGCCAGAGCATCTGCAGCAGGCCTCATTCATCAAGGGCCTCTCTCTTAATTAAAGAGGGATTTTATTTGCCAAGTGGGTGACATTCATCGGCTCTTTTAGTAACAGCTGCAATCCACTGGCAATGGAAACAGTTCTTCGCTGGGAAGCTGCCAGTCCACATGAATACTGCACCTGAAATTGCCTTATCCTGAGCCAGGTTTTTGGTCTCTCGAGGTCAGCACTATTTACTCTGGCTGGTGGTGGCTCTCCAGGGTCTCCAGGTCAAGGTCTTTCCCTTCACCTACCACCTGATCTTTTTAACTAGAAGTGCTCGGGACTGAGTCTGGGGCCTCCCACAGACCGAGCAGATGCTCTCCATTGAGCCACGGCCCCACCCCAACTCACCAGGCCAGGGAGAATCGAGCCAGTGCTTGATGTGAAGGATTTTTTCGTCCTTGGACCGGGCATGGGCCTCTTCACAGATCTTATCATACTTGGAAATTTCCTCCTGGAAGGCAGAGGACCAGGACAGGTTAAGTGTGATAACAGGTGAGCCTAAGAACAAGGTGAACCTGAACACCAGCTCATGCAAAGTAAACAGAGTCGTAGAGAACATTCTGTCTCCACCACATCCCAGTATTTTTATATATACACAACTCACAGCGGAAACAATGCTCTGTCATTGTCCCGAACCAAAGGCTGCTGCTAAGTGACAGTGCTCAAGAAAGCCATTTTTCTAACAAAGAAGAATTTTCTGAAAAGGGAATCACCACTGAAGCCCTCTTAAAGGCTGCAGAGAAATTCCAAGAAAGATACTGAAGCGGGTACTTTGCACACTGCAAATGAAGGCAACTGCTTCCCAGGACCATGATGACAACTCTTCTTAATACATTTCACTCTGCACCGTTCTCCATCAATTGGGAAACATCAGAACTGCGCTTCTCTTAGTAAGAGGCAGTCCGAAACAGCAGTAGCTGTTGTATGTGAGACTTCACAGTATGAAACTGAATTTTTAATTGCCAAAAGGTGGTGGGGTGTGTGCTGTGGACTTTAGTGCAGAGGACCGTCTGGATCTTCAAGAGCCAGAAGCACCAATGGGATAAAACTTTACGAACACAGAAATCTAAAAAACTTTAGGCAGCTCTTACAGTAGCCAGGCACCACATTTAAATACCACGGGGATGCTTGCTCATTGCCTCCTCCTTCCCAATTACCTAAATGTGTATTCCGTTTGCTCACTGGGCTCTGTTTATCCCTGATTCTGTACCAAGTCAGCCTTCGGATGCTACACCCTCCCCTCTTGTATGCAGTGACAGATGATCTTGCCACACACCACAACCAGGTGCCTTCTACTTTATGCAGCTGAACATAAGTTTCAGCTTGCACAGTTCCTGGCCTAAGTTCCCACATTCAATCATTTCCCAAAAAGAGGCTTATAAAGGCATTTCTATAGGTTGTAACGGGTCACTGGCTACAGACTGACTGTCAACCAGAAATTGCAGTACCTCATACTCAGGTTGATTTACCACCCCTTGAGAGATCAGTGACTCAGCATATTTCTGCAGCACAGCCTTCTGCTTTCGGATCTGCTTGTACATTAACGGCTGAGTGAACATTGGCTCATCCATTTCGTTGTGTCCATTTCGTCTGTAGCATACCTAACACATTTGAAGGGGGAAAATGCACTTAAGTTAAGCTGCATATTCCATCTTTCACAGCAAAACATGGGAGGGGGGGGACCTTCTCTAAGTGGCTCTTATTAAATATTTAAAGGTGCTTGCTGTAGTAGTAGTTTATTGCAAATGGCCAAAGGCTGTTAGAGTCTTAAACTAAAAAAAACCCATGAAATGCAAATGTTAACAGAAAACAATGATAATAATAATGATTAAAAACTAGTTTAAAAGAACTGATTTCACAATTGGCAAACCTTATACACACAGCAAAAGTTAACAACAGCTTGAACATCAAGCATAACTTTAAGCATGGATTTTCTTGGCATACAAAGATAACATATGCAAGTTATGTGGTGGATTTAGGATAGCCAAGATTATTGTGAGAAATTTGGATCTAGGTTCCTGATAGAGGGGACAAAACAAGATATTACGGGGACGGTCCTCCAAGATGCTTGCTATAAGGAGATGCTCAAGAAATTCAGAGGGACTAATTAGGACCTCGTAGCAGCATAAGCTAAAAGCAAGATTCACTGAAACCTAGTGACTTCCTTGTGTCCTTGGATAAAACAGGAAATGTAAACGAAGAATGCAGACTGAGAGGTTTAGTATGGAGCTTACTATAAACTGCACCCTCTGAAGCATTTCCTTGCAGTTCCAGTCACAGAGATATATCTATATCCCCAACAGAACCACCTACCAGGTCCACCACTACATCTTTGTGGAAAGTACTTCGCCATTCAGCTGCCACATTGCATACATAAACCACTGCCTCCGGGTCATCAGCGTTCACATGGAATATGGGTGCATTCACCACACGGGCCACATCTGTCGGGTATGGAGATGAACGAGCCATACGAGGGTCAGTAGTGAATCCGATCTGGAGAGCACAATTAGAAGTTACAATGCCCACAAAGAGGGAGACTACATGCATTCTTACCATTTGACTGAACACAAATACAGCCGATGGCTTAAGCAATGATTCCCAAATAGGGACCACAACCACGGAACATAGAGTCAAGAGTCTGGTCCAAAACTAAGGGGGGGAACACAGAACACAACACACTGTTTTCTAATTCTGTAAGGCAGACTATAAACAAAGTAAATTTTAAAAAAATGAAAATAACAGACGTAGGTGGCAGGTCCATTAGTCATGTGCTTTGGAACCACTAGCAATTAGGATTCCCTAGCACGGTGATCCCCAAACTTCTTGGAATACATGGACACGTTTGGAATTCTGATACAGCTTGGTGGGCACAGTAGGGTTGCCAAGTCAAAATATCGCCGGAGCGGGGGACTCCCCGCTGGCGGCTGGAGCGCGCGCGCCGCACACACTTCACCCAGAAGTGACATGATGACGTCGGGCACGCTGGGGGCGGGGCCACGGTCATCCGAGGGAAAACTCTATGGTTTTCCCTCTGATGGTCGTGGCCCCACCCCCAGTGTGCCCGGCGGCATCACGTCACTTCTGGGTGACGTGCACGTTGGGGTAGGGTTCCCCCCGGGGCCCGATCCGCCAGCAGCAGGGAACGGGCCTCTGAGGCGGGGTTTCCCCCGCCCCCCGGGGGGACTTGGCAAGCACATCTACAAAATGGCTGCCACAGGAAGCAGAGTAGGGATGCCAGCCTCCAGGTGGGACCTGGGGATCTTTCAGAATTACAGCTCATCTCCAGACTACAGAGTTTAGTTCCCCTGGAGTGCCAAAGCAACCTCTTCAAAAAACATCTACAAAGCCAATCTAATCTCCAAAGGCCAATAAGAAGCCTTGCTGGGCAGAAGCTATGCCAGGCTCTGCCCACTTTTTCAAAACACTTGGTGGGGGGGCCAGGAAAGGTGTCAGTGAGTACCATGGTGCCCATGGGCACAATGTTGGGGACCCCTGCCCAAGCAGCTCAAGAGGTGAGTGAGAATAAACTAAATCTAGGTCTGTTTTTGTTTTCTTAGTCTAACAACTAGAAAAACAGCTTTTACCAGACTAGGTTAAAATGGTGATTGCTTTAATTTTTTTAATTCAGCCCCAGCTATTTAATAATTTTTCTGAATTTAAGGTTAATGATGATGGGGAAAGGTTAATGAAAGGAGCCCTAGTTATTCAACAGATAGCAGCTCAGCACTGTTTCTAGATTTGGCTTCAACTCTTTGCCTGATGAGTCAGTAGAGAGGGAAACAAAAAGGAACAAGCAACACGAAGACTAGTGCCCTTTAAAAGAGAGAGGGAGAGAGTTTTTGAAGAGAGCACAGGGTGAGAGATGAGACAGAAACCAGACTAGCTCAGTGGGACGGACAACAGCTCCACAAGTGCCCCTTTCTCCTCATAAGAACCAGCCCAGCCAATACTAATGAGAGGGTCGTAATGACAAGCTAGACTATTATTTCAATGAGCTTTCATGAGTCACTGCTCACTTATTCAGATATCTGAAGAAGTGAGCAGTGACTCACAAAAGCTCATACCGCACAACAAATTTTGTTAGTCTTTAAGATGCTACCAGACTCTTACTCTTTTCTACTGCTACAGACAAACACAGCTACCCATCTTGATCAATTCTGTCAATGAGTTCGCTCAAAGTTTAACAGTCAGTATAAGAACTCAGTTAGTACATTTCGGACAGCATCACTTGCACAGCTTGCCTGGCCTTTAAGTCGGCCCATCCAGACATTTCCCCAAGAACAGTATCAAGAAACCCGAGTCAACATCAGTACTCAGCTGCAACTGAAAGCTTCGAAACCAAAATGGTACTGAAGTTCTCGCAAGAACTGAGAAGTGAAACTTCAGTTAGGTGCTTTCGGCAGATTACGTGAAAAAGGATAGGGAGGAAGCATCCTGACATTGCAGCAAAAGGATCCACATATTACCTGGTTGTTCATCACTACATGTACAGTCCCGTATGTCGTATAGGAAGGCAGGTCACTCAAGTGGAACGTCTCATAAACTATACCTTGCCCAGCAAAAGCAGCATCACCGTGCAAAAGAATGGACATCACCTTGAAGGGGAAAAACAAGAACACAAAATGCTTGTCAGGAATCTGGCAACCACTAGAGAGCCAGAAATGGCTGCAGCGACGCCACTGAAGGACAGATTATTGGCCACAGAAAGAACAAACAGTTCGAGCTAGACGTAGTTTCTGACACTGGGATGAAAAATACCCCCTTCCCTTTGACTAACCATGTGCAAACAACTGTGGAGAAAGATGATCAGTGACCTACATAGACTGCATGCCCACTTACTTTCTTCCCTTCAGTGTCTCCGCAATAAAACTGTTCAGCCTTCGTCTTTCCCTGAACCACAGGATCAGCAGCCTCCAAGTGAGATGGGTTTGCAACCAAGGAAAGAGGGATGGTCCTGTCGGTGACACGATTTATCCTTCGGTGGTACATTCCCAAGTGGTATTTTACATCTCCTGAGCCCTGAGGAAAGAGATTTAAGGTTAACTTAATTTTCAGAGCCTCAAAATGACCAACCAACATACACACTTTGAATTCTTACACGGTTGCCAAAATTTCAAACCAGGAAGGCAGAGAAAACAGTGCTGCTACTTACTACTTGGCTTTATTTCATCCCTCTCTATCTTATTCCTGCTGGTGTAGGAGGAGGTTGCAGGCTTTTAGTGATGATCAATCCAGATCTGAGATTTCAGAGTATACTATACTAGCACCTTCATCCCAAATGTAGACAGCCCCAGTAGCTACTGTAAAGAATCACTGTGATTTCATATCACAGCTGGACTCAACAGCTATTGTTAACCATTTGAAGATGGCTGAAAATCTCATGCAAATGATCTGATTCACTGCCATATAGGAAGGGGAGCAATATGATGTCTTAAATTTCTATCCTTTCCTGAAGTTTAGGTTCATATGAAAGGGAAGCTTTAAAGCACGTGGCAATTCACCCAGAAATCCAGTTACAAGGCCATAAGAGCATGCCACAACTTCACCCTTGAGGAAAAGCTACTGAAATCTGAACAACATTAAGGAAACTACCAAGTCAGTCTCACAGGACCAAAAATGCTGGAAGCAAGCTTTTGAGTCACACAGGATGAACTCTTAAAAACAGATGTTCAAAAGGGGGATGGGTGGGGGGAGGAAAAATACCATAGGGTAATCACCATTCAGAGACAAATAATTCTGTGGAATAGGAAAATGTAATCCTGCCCCAAACACATTAAATAACTCACCTCATCTGCAGCCTCCAGCTTGGAATCAAACTGGCAGAAAATTTGCTCTAACTCCTTCCTGATCACGTTGGCAAGAACATTCAGACGCCCCCTGAAAACCAATTATATTTAGCAAGAAACTGATTTTGTATCAGTCTGGGCCAGTTTGGTCTTAACTACTCCTTTTTTGCAGTAAATAACAATTATAGCATTTTCTGTTAAAAAACTGGAGCCACATAATTGACTTCACAGTCTTTGTGTCTGCAGGGTAACGACTTACTATTTCCCAACTTAAGAATGGGGTACTGATGGTCAGAGAAAAGGGACTTTGCTGAAGTCACACAGTAAGAAGTTAATGGCAGAGGGGAATATTCTACCCAGCTCTGCTTTGACACAAGTACAGCTCTCTACCCAGTAGCTCTTAGTAATCCTACAAACCTCACCCCTTCGGTAATCAGTTTTTTCTAAGAACAAAATTTACCTGTGCGGCATCCCCATGATAACATAATCTACTCCCTTCTCGCTTGACTTGTCAATTATCGTCTTCAAGGCAGGTATCAGCACCTCACATCCTTCCAAGCCAAATCGTTTTTCAGAAGACCATTTCCTATGAAGGAACTCTTCAAATCTGGAAGGCAGGTATAAAAGCCATTTGAAGGACCACAACTGCCAGAGAACCCACAAGGGTCTTGAAAAATTCCAAATGAGTCATATAAACCAATATGCTGTTATTAAAGTCACTAGTACTGTAGAATGCCTAATTCAACAGGACAGAAACATAGGAACATCCAGATAAGAATATGCATACCAATATTTAAGTGATTAAATATCCCTGACCTGGATAGCCCAGGCTAGCCTGATCTTGTCAGATCCCAGAAGCGAAGCAGGGACAGCCCTAGCTAGTATTTGGACGGGAGACCTCCAAGGAATACCAGGGTCATGATGCAGAGGCAGCCAATGGCAAGCTGCCCTGAACATCTCTTGCCTTGAAAACCCAACAGGGTCGCCATCAGTCAATCTGTGAGTTGATGGCAAAAATAAAAAAATAAATAAAAAGATGTTTGACTCTTCCCTTAACAAGTCCTCACCAGCTGACTAAGTGCCTGAAAGGAATCAATTTCAAAAGGAATCTAAGGAACCATGATTGATGAAACACCAGTTCAGAAAGGATATTGCAACACTGCTCGTATGAAAAGGAACAGAAGAAAGAAAAGTCAAAGATGGCAGACATCCACCTCCTCCCCATCATAGTATCTGTTGAAAGGGATTCGAGGCTGCCCTGAAAT